TATAATTTGACAGCCTCGTTCTCTGTAGGCAAATAAAGCAGTGAAAAAAAGTACCCATGAGGTCTGTCTCCTTGTTCCACTAATCGATAACCAGTTACCAATCAGGTCTGTAAAAACGCGGGCTTTTTAAAAAGTGAGTTTTCTAATCACCTGATGTGCATTTGGGTTGATTTTGCTCAAACCAGTCCTGAATATGTGCAGTTGGTGAAAGTGAGGCGGTTGAACACCGTCATCAGGTTACCGGGTGATTAAAATGTGGTAAATTTAACACTAAAAAGACATTTTTTCCACTGCGGATGCAGAGGGCTGTGAAATAGCACTTGTGAGGCCTGCTTTGCCTTCAAGTAGGCGCAATTGCATGTGGTTACGCTAATTGGTGTGCTTACTCACAGATCGATGTGGCAGCACACACGCGCGCACCCACGAGAGCTCAACGCTCCCATTGGTCGACGCGGCCTCGCATTCAAGCAGCTCTGAGAGACTCTACTACTAGGCATATAGCATTGCTCGTCAATTCCACTTCAAGCAGTCGCCTCCCCAATGAATCCGCAGTGCCCGCCGAAGCCACAGTTGAAATTAGCCGAGGTCGACGACTTCGGCCGACGCATCATCCTCCAGTCGGTGCTCAAGGCCGACCTCCTCTACTGCACCGAGGACGAGATGGCCAAGAGCATCCGCATCGACTTGAACAACAAGTTGGGCGGCCACTGGCACGTCATTGTTGGCCGACACTTCGCAAGGTCTGTCTGTGTGTGCGCTATATCGTGGCTGTTTTCCTTTGCCTCGTTGATTTTTTTTTGTTCTGTGTGCTTATTTTGGTTAAAATCATGGTTCCCCTGTCTCCGTCGTTACAGCTACTTCACCTACACTCCGGGATACTTGGCCCATGTGATTCAGGGGAACATGCAATTCCTCGTGTACCAGTACCTGGAGAACAAGTAAACCACCGCTTCCACAGATTCGCGAACTCTCGACATGAATTCCCCTCCCCCCTCTGTATCTTCCTATTACAAATTACAAATTAAAAGACCAGATAGAATTTAGCATTTTTGTCAGAAGGATAACAGGCTAAAAGGAAGGTGGTGGTGTGAAAT